GCGGGCTCGGCGCCGCCCGCCCGCGCGTGCTGTGCCCCGCTCCGTCCCGCCCATCCCGCGGCCCTTTGCCCCGCTGGTGGCCCCCGCGTCGGTGCCCGCACGTTGTCGCGCGGGCTTCCCGCTCTGGATTCCCTCGGGTTTTGCGCATTCGTTCTGTCACTCTCCGCTGCTCCTTCTCCTCTCTCCTTAGGCTCTTGGCTGCCTTTTTTTTTTTACTCTCCATCTCTCCCTGGCTCCGATTTCTCTCCCGGGCGGGCTCCGGGTCGCTCGTTCTCGCTCCACTCCCTCTGTCTCATCTGCTCTTTCTCTTCTCTGCCTCTCCTCTCCCTCCTCTCTCTGGCTCTCTCTCTCTTTCTCGATGTCTCACGGTCTCTGTCTCTCGCTGTCTCTGTCTCTCTGGCTCCTTCTCGCCCTGTCCCTCTCTCTGCACCTCATCCTCTCCCTGTCTCTCTCTCTCCGTCCCTGTCTCTCTATAATGTCTCTCATTCTCCCTGTCTCTCATTTTGCTCATTTTCCCTCTTATTCTCTGTCTCTCTCCCTCTCTCCCTTTCTCATCCTCTGTCTCTCTCTTTCTCTGTGTCTCTATAATCTATTTCCCCCTCGCCCATTTGGCTCTTCTGTCTCTCGTTTCCTCTCTCTCCCTCCCCCTCCCTCCCTTTCTCGGTCTCTGTGTATGTCTGTCTCTGCCTCTCCCCTTGTGGCCCTCTCCTGTGTCTCTCTGTCTCTTTCTCAGTGTCACCCCACCTCCCGGCACCCCTGCTTGCGCCCCTGCTTTCTCAGAGCCCATCGAGGCTAAATTTGGAGGGTGCCGTGGTATCGTGGGCTCCTTCCGCTGCCGCGATGCTGCGGAGAAGCGGGCGATTGCCCGCCCGAGCCCGTGGGGCCGGTGGCCGCTGGTTCTTAATGGTGAATAAACTCCACAGAGACCCAAAGAGACAGAGGCTAGCTAGAGAGACCTAGTCGAGCAGCCGTCGGAGAAAGCTGGAGCCAGATATCCGTGCACTCGGACACAAAGAAAGTGCTCTGCAAGGGCCCCAGGGAGCGGGGGACCCAGCGAAGGACATGGGCTAGGCGCGGGGGGTTTGCGCGCTGCAGAGACCGGGAGAGGCCTGAGACCCTGAGAGACAGGGACAGGCAGGGGAAACGTCGCGAGAGGATCAGAGACCCGCGGAGAAGTAACAGGCAGGCCGGCTATTACCGAGAGCCGGTGCGCGTCGAAAGACCGCTAAGGCGCATAGGGAGACAGGGAGAGGGCATGAGCCAGCAAGAGACAGGAGAGGGCTGGCGAGAGCACCGGAGGGGACACGGAGACACATCTCCAGTGTGAGACACTGGGCAAGTGCACCAGGCACCCGCAGAGGTGGAAGGTCAAGGGAATCAACTGAGAGAACTCCAGATACTGAGACAGCGTCAGGGAATGACTAAAAACCACTGTCCTAGAGAGGGGCAGAGACAACGACAGGCAGAGACACTTCGAGAGATGAAAGCAGATCAGAAAGAGACGGAAGGAGAGCCAGGGACAAGAGTGAAGAAAGTCAGAGAGATACAGACACAGGCGCGCGCCCAGCTACAGAGAAAGTGTGCTAGAGAAAGAGACAAATAGAGAGGCTGAGAGACAGCGACGCTGGCCGCGAGTAGGGGGAGACGTGGGAGTAACAAGGGCCACAGAAAGGGGAGAGCGCGGGGAATGACAGTGACCTACAGCCAGCGCGCGCGCTGTAGCAAAGGGCTGAGAAACAGAGAAACAGACAACAAGCGTGAGAAACTGAGGCAAGAGAGTTAGAGATCACGGTGAGCCACATCCGCACACCCCGAGAGACACAGGGAAAGCACGGTAGAGAGAGCGACCTGCGGAGTCGGACAAGCACTGAGCGCGCGCGCATGCGCTGACGGGGGAACGCAAACTCAGGGATCCAGAGATAGTGCGGGAGACCCCCAGGCACGCGCCGTCGGGTGAGACAGAAGCGTCAGGGGGCTTAGAGGCCCCGAGCGAGGCCCACAGAGCAGAAAAGGACCCAGGGAAAGCGCGCGGCCAGGGGGAGCGGGGCCCGTGGCAGGCTGACTAACTCGGCTCGCCTGTTTCTTTCACCCCCAGCGTGAGCACCGCTCCGCGTCCGGGTCATGACGTCTAATTGCACCAACAGCACCGACACAAGCGACAACAGCAGCAGCAGCAGCAGCAGCGGTCACGCGTGCATGCCCCTCTCCAAAATGCCTATCAGCCTGGCGCATGGCATCATCCGCTCCACCGTGCTGATCGCGTTCCTCGTTGTTGCGTTCGTCGGCAACGTGGTGCTGGCCATCGCGCTGCAGCACAAGCCGCAGCTGCTGCAGGTGGCCAACCGCTTCATCTTTAATCTCCTCATCACAGACCTGCTGCAGGTTTTGCTCGTGGCCCCCTGGGTGGTGGCCACTTCCGTACCTTTTTTGTGGCCCCTCAACACCCATTTCTGCACAGCCCTGGTTAGCCTCACTCACCTGTTCGCCTTTGCCAGTGTCAACACCATCGTGGTGGTGTCGGTTGATCGCTACCTGGCCATTATCCACCCTCTTACCTACCCAGCCAAGATGACCTCTCGAAAGGGCTACATGCTTCTGTATGGCACCTGGATCATAGCTGTCCTGCAAAGCACACCCCCACTCTATGGCTGGGGCAAGGCTGCCTTTGACGAGCATAATGCTCTCTGCTCCATGCTCTGGGGGGACAGTCCCAGCTACACCACCCTCAGCATAGTGTTCTTCATCATAATCCCACTGATAGTCATGGTTGCCTGCTATGCTGTAGTGTTCGGTGCAGCCCGTCGACAGCATGCTCTGCTGTACAACGTTAAGAGCCACAGCCTGGAAGTGCGGGCCAAGAACGGTGTGGAGAATGAGGATAAAGTGGGAGAGAGGAAGCAGGATAAGTGCCAGCATGAGAGTGAGTTCCAAGGCCAGGATGAAGGTGTGCACAGGGCCAAGGAGGGCAGTGTGGAGACTGAAGAGGGAATCATGATGTTCAAGGAAGGTAGTACGGAGATGAGTGAGGGTAGCATGAAGACCAAGGACATCGAGGAGACCAAAGAAAGAGGCATGGCAACCAGCAAAGGCAGCCTGGAGGCCAAGGAGGGCAGTGTGAAGGCAGACAGGGGCCACACAGAGGTCAGCCACTGCAGCATTGACTTGGGGGAAGATGACCTGGAGTTTGGTGAGGATGGCCTAGAGTTTGAGGAAGGTATCCATTTCAATGAGGATGACATTGAGGCCGTGAACATCCCAGAGAGCCTCCCACCCAGTCGTCGCAACAGCCGTAGCAACCTTCCTCTGCCCAGGTGCTACCAGTGCAAAGCTGCCAAAGTGATCTTTCTCATCATTTTCTCCTACGTGCTGTCCCTGGGGCCCTACTGCTTTCTAGCAGTCCTGGCCATCTGGGTTGATGTCCAAACCCAGGTACCCCAGTGGGTGATCACCATAATAATCTGGCTTTTCTTCCTGCAGTGCTGCATCCACCCATACATTTATGGCTACATGCACAAGACCATCAGGAAGGAAATCCAGGATTTGCTGAAGAAACTCTTCTGCAAGGAGAAGCCCCCAAAAAAACACAGCCACCCAGACCTGCCAGGAACCGAAGCCGGCACAGAGGGTGGTAAGATCATCCCTTCCCAAGATTCTGCCACTTCGCCTTGAAGTCGCTTCTAAAGCAAACCTTGACTTGTCTGTCCACAATGCAGACAACGAGAGCAGCTTTCTTTTCAGTGGACTACCCACAATTCCATTAATGCTAACCCATACCATTCTAAGCAAAGGTGTTGTGCATGCATCCTTCTCACCGCAAAGTAGATAAATATATGGAAGAGGTAGGAACTGGGTTTTCCCTTAAAAGCATACACTTCAAACCACAGATTTGAGGATTCTGACTGAAATTTCCCCCAGAAAATTATTAGGCTCTATATTTCTTAAAGCAACAAGGGCTATCCATTTTGGACTTGTACTTGGTGTTCTATTTGTTTCCCCAGAGCCACAATGTGTCAGCCTTAGCTCTGAGGGAAAGAGAAGTGATGCCTGAGAATTTAAGGACTCTTAGGCCCTTGGATCAGGAACTCATGGGCAAGGACTACAGCTTACGTTCAACTGAAAGAAAAGTAATGGATCAAATCATTCATGAAGCCCAAAAAGCAGAAGCTGACTGCCTGGTTAATGTCTGAGCCAAATTCTGCACTGAAGAGACCCACAATTTGGTGCCAAGGTGATTGTTGAAGCTAAGACAAAGGGCAGCATGTAGTTAGAGTGCCAAGAAGGTTTCTCGACCCTCTAAAGGGATCCAGAAAAGTGGATGAGGACAATAGAGCATATATGAAATAGGAAATTAGTCCAGGGTAAAAGGTAACGAAGTAACATATATCCATGGAGCTAAACAGTTGACTTTTTTCCTATAAAATACTGGGCTTTTTGCTTGGTCATGTCATACAATGGAAAATTGACAATTGACACTAAATAATTTCTGTTTCCTATTCGAATAATAGTGGGACGGAAATCATGGCACTATCCTAAATTTCCCCTTTGGGACTAAATCAAGATAGACAGAAACTTAAAAGTTCGCTTTTTTCCCTCAAATAGGCCTTTTTGATCAAACAGTATTTACAGAAAAAAGAAATTCAAATGGAGGTGGCCGTAGTCCTACAAAACTCACACTGTCAACCAAGAGTGATGTGCCCTGCAGAAATCTCTTTTGTGTCTCTGAGATCATAAACAAGAAATATGATCTCCATATGGGGAGAAAATAAGGCAGGATAAGCATTTTCCTTCCTCCAGGTACCCTACGTGGCTTTTCCACCTGTGGCCGTCTCTAAAGCCCCTCAGCTCTGCAGATGTGAGAGATACGTAAGAGAGAAATAACCAAGGATCGTTTCACAATACCTGGCAAGCTAGTGACCTATTGCAGACAAAGGTTTCAAGTCAGATGCATCCTAATTATTGCTGTTGAATTTATGACTTTGGAAATATCTTTATAATATTTCAGTTATCCCCAAGGTCAATACAAAGGATGATTTTCCAAATTCCAAAACCTGAAATTACCTTGAATATGTATGTTATTGCTGAGAGCACAGGCCATAACTATATGACCAAATAGAACTACACCAAAAAAAAAAAAGGGGGTCAAGCCAATGTTCTTCAACCTTTGGAAAACCAAATTAAATTGTTAATATGGGTTAAGGGAGAGGAGAAGGCTTGGGATTAAAAAATAGTTAACCAGATGGTTGTATATAAAGATGCCCAAACTCAGAATTCAGCCTCATTCCTGTGTGATTGATTACCATGTCTTTGCTAAAACTCAAATTTCATTCATACAAAGTTATTTACTGGCTATATGCCCAGTTCATTTACATTTTCCTTAATCTCTTCCTCTTCACAGATTCCAACATTGGCTTCTCAAGGGGGAGAAGTAAGCAGTGATGTGTTGGAGCTGTGAATAAGTCTGGATAGGAATTTGGGGTTACCATGTCAGAATTTGGAAAAGGAGTGGGGATAGACTCAAGTGATACTGAGCAGGCTGGTCAAATTGATACCTCCATGTAAACCTTAATTCCAACTCCATAAGTTTGGAACTTGTGGTAATTCAGACAAGGCGTGAGGGCTGAAGTTTACCCATGCACTATCCTTTCTCTTTCAACCCAAATGTATAAAGTGGATCAACAGTCATAACTGTATTATACCAATGTATTGCCTAACTCTTGTATTGACCTTCCTTACAGGGTATCCAGGTGAAGGAATGGCCTATGTGGACCACTCCTCCTATGAAGGGTATTGCTTTCAAGGCCTGCCATGGTCCAAGGAGTTCAAGGTAGCTGTAGATTGTTCTTAGAGTAGAGATGCTGACCTAAGTAGGAAACATAATTTCTAACATGTCTCCAAGTATCTTTAAAACTCAACCTCTTCGAAGTGTATCAGAGGAAACTGTTTGCCAAAATCCCAAATCCAAATGGAACCAGAACCTGTACAAGTGTGTTTGTTGTTGTTAGGTACCATTGAGTTGGTCTGCACTCATAGTGACCCTGTGCACAACAGAATGAAACACTGCCCAGTCCTGTGACATCCTTACAGTCATTGCTGTGTTTGAGCCCATGGTTGCAGCCACTGTACTAGTGCATCTCATTGAAGGTCTTCCTCTTCTTTCCTGACCCTTTACTTTACCAAGCATGATGTCTTTCTTCAGGGACTGGTCCCTCCTGATAACATGTCCAAGGTATGTGAGATGAAGTCTTCCCATGCTTGCTCCTTAGAAAGGAGCATTCTGGCTGTACTTCCAAGACAGATTTGTTTGTTCTTCTGGCAGTCCATGGGATATTCAATATTCTTTACCAACACCATATACTGTCCAGCTTTTGCATGCATCTGAGGTGAATGAAAGAAAATATCTTGGCTTGGGTCAGGTGCACTTTAGTCCTCGAGGTGACATCTTTGCTTTTTAATACTTTAAAGAGGTCTTTTGCAGAAGATTTTCCCAATATGATGTGTCATTTGATTTCTTGACTACTGCTTCTATGGGTGTTGATTTTGGATTCAAGTAAAACAAAATCCTTGACAACTTCAGTCTTTTCTCTGTTCATCATAATTTTGCTTATTGGTCCAGTTGTAAGGATTTTTGTTTTCTTTATGGTGAGATGGAATCCAGGCTAAAGACTGGATCCAGTCTTTGATCTTCAACTGTAAGGGATTCGAGTCCTCTTCACTTTTGGCGAACAAGGTTGTGTCATCTGTATATTGCAGGTTATTAGTGAGTCTTCCTCTAATCCAGATGCCACATTCTTCATCTAGTCCAGCCTATCAAATTATTTGCTCAGTAACAGATTGAATAACCATGCTGAAAGGATATAACACTGACACACACATTTCCTAATATTAAACCATGCAGTATCCCCTTATTCTGTTTGAATAACTGCTTCTTGGTCTATGTCTAAGTTCCACATGAGTACAATTAAGTATTCTGGAATTCTCATTCTTTGCAATATTATCTATAATTTGTTATGATTCACACAGTCAAATGCCTTTGTATGGTC